CTAGTCCTAGACCCCAGTCTGGATTGTAAATATCAGGATGTCAACTTGAACAATCGTCGAACAACAAACTTGGTCAGTTCTAATTGCCCAATGAGCGTTATGATTCCATATTCGACATCGAATAATTCTTCTGCGGCATCTAACAATTCGCCAATGACCAATTTGACTAATTATAATCAGCAAACATTGTTTAATAATTTGCAACAGCCTGTTAATTCAACGAGTCCGTTCGTGACAACGAGTTTTTTCGTTTCATCTACCTCTGCAATCACTGACCCTACAAAGCATTTGAACGCTTGGGCATATCAGATAATGTATCGAAAGCCCCTATATTTAGTCAACAATTCACCCATAACCAAAAAAGCGAGCAGAGAAAATAAAGAGGGGGTTGGCGTTGAGAGAAACGACTATATATAAATTAGATGTAATTAATGATAGTAATAGATAAGTTGGTGGATAAATAATCGATTACTAACAGAATATTGCTTTAAAACTGGCTATCTAGGTGGCTGCTCTCTTTTGTCTCGACTGGTGGATGGGTTCGGATCTGGATCGGGCAGCGGGCAATTACCGGTGACGCCCCTCTACTCACCATTCTCACCAGTGCTCGCCTGCGGTGAAGGGATCTGGCACGGGTCCTCTGATAAGTGGGTCACGGGGGATGCCCGGAACACTATCATGACATCTCCTTTTTTCTTTTTTTTACACAGCTTTTAGATGACGGGTAGAAGGTTTGGGTAAGTATAAGGTAAGTATCGCATTTGCTTTACGTTATAAACTAACTCCATTTGCTTTTTCTTTTTCTTTCTCCCCCTTTTTCTCTACACTGGCGGTTTGCTGGTGAACGGATCCAATGGGACACTTGGTGGAGTGGAGCGAGTTTGAGGGTCCGATTCGGTGATTGCTTAGCTGCTTGTGAAGGATCTGCCCCTGAAGCTAGTGGAGATGGAAGGTGAGTTTGCTGCTTGGCATGCCTGTTTGGAAGCAATAGTTATTTGATTGTTTATCCACCAGTTCTATAGTTCATATGTATTTATTATAATGTATTTAACTAATAATTATTAATAGAAGATGATAATTGTATTAGTGTTTAAATAATGAAATATTGATAATGAAAATTATAGCGAAAAGAAAAAAAAAAGAAAGAATTAAAAATCTTTATGTAATGGTCAAATAAATCGACTTTGCGGAGATACCCAGGACGGGTGTGCATCTTCGATGTTGTAAATAGTATGTTTGAATGGGTTCCTTCAATAGTGATTAGCCTTTTGTGATTGTTGTCGGCCTATTTACTATTCTGTCGGCACACCCAAGATATATATCATCTTTGGTCTTCGCGAGTAAATTTCTATTGTTGTTAATAGACAAGTTTTAAAAAACCATTTTCTCGATAATCATCGAACTAAAACGGATCAAATATTTGTCATTAATTGAGTGTAACTCAAGCGTTATTTTATCAAGCGAATGTAATCAGAAGTTGCTGAGATAATTGCCCTGTATCAAAACTTTTTGAACCCCCACGTATCTACGTTGAGAGTACAAACAAAATAATTGTGCAACTCAGCATGTTCACCTTGCATCATCGAACGCATGTAAAAAAAAAGAGTAGAATCCTCAACTGTAAACTGTGAAACATAACACGTAACAAATATCACATATAGTAGTTGCATAATTAAAATATTGATAATGGCTGGAAAATTATCGAATAAGCAATTTACATGGTATAATATGGCATCAATTGAATTGAACCTTTAATCAAGTCGATTTAAACTTAGACCAAAAAGTGTCACAGACGAAAGTTATTGTCAAATATTATTTCATTAGCGTTTTTTTCATCATAGAGTTTATAAAATGTTAAAATAAAAGCCAATGGCTTTCATAAAACAAGTTAAGTTACTATACAGCGCGTGACAAAATACACTTAATTATACCAATGCTCTCGAAAGTTTTTCGATAACAAAGTTTATTATATGTTTGTCAAAATTGCGCTAATATAATAATTAATACATTATTAAAGTCGAAAAAATACTAAATAAATTGTTAAATTTGAAACTCAAGTTGTGTGTTGTATCGCATTTACTGAAATGAAATTTCATTCCTACATCCAAATCTTCTAGGCTTATTTGAGACTGGTAGTTTATGCTTTTGCTAACTTAGGCAATTTTTATTTGACAGTATAGTTTATAAAAGTTTATTTCTGTTTATCACTATAATCATCTTGAGCGTAACTTGTGATGAGCTGCTGTTTAATACTTATTCCTTCGGGTTAAACGACTCACTTCTTCGAGTTGGTATTTGCAGATCTTATACTTATACAAAACTAACCGCTTAAATATCCACTTTAGAAAATTTGTATAACAATTTTTAGCACCGGTTTTATATATATCACTATATCGCTATATTAACATCTTTTTAATATACTCTTAACTGCTCAGTATGACGAAAAAATTAAAACAGTTCAGTAAAAAATAAATTGATTAACTGCCGAAGTATTTAAAAAAAGAACAGGCGACTAAAAAAGCAGTCCAAAAAAAAAAAAGCATTAAATAATCCACTACTCGAGCGATTGCCGCTCGAGCTCCGTTTTCCCTCAAAAGTATTATCACACAACTGCTGATTGGGGAAAAAAGTATGATACGACGCAAAATAATATTGACATATTAATATTGTAACTGACTTAACATATGTATGCATTGATTGGATTGTAAAGAATAAATTGCATCATTATCATAACATTATGCTAAGCTGTGTACTTTCAAATCAATACTAACAGGAAAATACAGAATGGGCTATAAATCAAAGGGCCAAAAATATTGTTATTATATTAGTACTCGGGTACAAATCTCTGAAACTTGGTGAGGGTACATCTACGTACATTTCATAGAGTTTTGCGTTACTTTAACGGGGAGGGTACTGTACATGTCGGAGTTTTACGGTAAATAATCGGCATGTGAGTCACTCGGAGTGCCACCACATACTATTGTCACTGTCGATCAATAGCATTACACAAATTTAGTGCAAGTATTACAGTAGACAAACGTTACTAAAAATAGATGTGTTCAATTACTTTCGATCTTAAAAAATGAGTAGTTTTCTATACTCTAAAATACATTACTATACTAATGATTTATTCCCTGGTAAATTGTTGGTATAATTGTAAAACCGCCGCTAATTATTTGCATCTTGTCTGTGGATATTATCGTGGCATTACGATTGTTATTATCGCTTATGGTGAGGACGTATAGTATATAAGCTTCAAAATTAATCAACATCAGAAGGAAATAGAAAATTAATTCAAAGGTGAATAACCGTCTAGAATTTGTGTTTACGCATCGACACTGAGATCGTGAGTAGTAAGAGCCTAGTTTTACTATTTACAACACAGCACAGTATATAGTACAAATCGCAATGGCTTGCATTATTCCGGTCAGATCGCTATGGGATTTTGAACATTATTTGCAATTTAGTGGATTCCTTTCAAATGAACACGATAAGGGACTACTACTGTGTTACTGCTGTTCGTTGGGTAGCATCTCATCTCTTTTGCGTTGGCGATTAGTCATACAAAGTTTACATCTCCCAATGAGCCATTCTTATGTACTATCGAAGTACGAAAAACTATCTACTGGCGCGCGTCGCAATAAAAATAATGAAGTTTGTGCCGTTTATCACACAACCCATTGAATGAATATTGACAGATAAAACAGCCTTATGTACATTGTACGAGCACACTGGCATGCATAACGGTAGTATACGGTAATTTAAATTTCGCAATATTCGGGGCTTTTTATGTCGATAAATAAAGACAAGCTTCATCCTAGAGAGTTAATGGCACAAAAAATGTAACGCGAGATTTATGGCTTGAAAGCTTAGTACGATCTAGAACGTAAAATGCACGCGAAGGTTTCATTCTCCAAAAGAGGCAGTTTTGTCGCCATTCCATATGTTTTCAGGCTTATAGGTACGAAGGAGCGCTCTCAATGATTTCCGTTCATTTTCCAACTGTTCAGCAGGTGGTGCACTCGCACTTTCTCCTTGCTTCCTGAACTGACGAAGTCCATTGCGATTTTTAAAGCCTGCTAAGCCATCCATCGAATGAATGAAAATCGTTAATCGAAAACTGATTTGTGAAACAGATTGCTTTTTATTTTAAAATATTTCCTGTAATATCTTGCTGTGCATTAAGTGCATTATTAACCCAAAGACTAAGAACATTTCAAGCCGCGGCCACTTAGGCGCGCGAAATCTTTTCACGTCGTCCTCTACGGTTGTAGTTGCAAGCCAACGATCTTTCTCGTTTAGAATTTTGGTTATTGTCGACTTTCCAATATTGTATTTGTTGGCAAATTCTTAGTTGTTTATTGTTGGATCGGATTTTTTTTGCTTCGCAAATTTTACGTTTTTGAGCAGCAGAGAGAGATATTCTTTTTTTGCTTGACATATTGTTTATCGAGTAGCTTTGGTACCAAATCATTAAAATCGAGGATAATAATAATAAATAAATATAAGACGTTACATAATGATTACAGCACATTTACAGTCTGGTTAACTCGATAACTCTAACTAAATTTGGCTAATGGCCTAATCATATAGTAACTCCTCGCTATGTTTGTGTGACAGTCTACAATAGAAAGCGGGAATATCATATGAAATTTCGATTTAGGCTTTGAACAACGAGTTCACAGACACTATAAATAGCTTCAACTTTATATGTATTTTGCGCCGCGAGGAATTATTTGGGATTAACAACTAGACGTCTTATGTGTGTTTGTATGGTCTCTAATACAGTGAAAATCCACAAAGAATGCATACGTAAAATCTGCGAGCCAATCACATTTCAAAAAATTTTCCTGCAGATTATTCTAAAATCGACAATGTCTAATATCACCGATGATATGATATATTGCAGAACTTCAGGTCGACGTAATAACGATGACATCAAATTCCGCTGACAAAGAATGGCTAGAAAAGAGTATTGAAAGTGAATATATTCGATTTTATCCTTATAATGGCTTAATCGATAAAGACTGCATAGGCCATGGTGCATTTAGTGTAGTTTTCAAAGCAACAGTAGCAACATCGGGCATCACTGTTGCTTACAAGATGATCAAATATTGGGACGAAGAC